CACACCTGAACATCATCCATTTTTCGCGATTTCTGTTGTCATTTCTCAGAAGGGCTACTTTTTCATATGTTGCTGATATTCACCATTGTTTCCACGTGAGTGCGTCGTTCGCATTCAAATCGACCCAATTTTTTCCGTTGCATTTCATCATCCGTCATCAGACGCACCACGTAAATGGCGCCGCATTCGTGACTTCTGTTTCAGGGATTCCCGTTAAGAGAGAAAGAGAGCAGGTTCTTGACAAGACAAGCTCTGTTGGGGATGTGAATGGGTCGCACACTTCTTCTTCTAGTCACAATTCCACTTCTCGCCACATGCCATACACTATCACGACTGGCCGATTTTCAGGATATCGTACGTCAACGGAAAAATGGAAACAATATTACCCAGGTAGATCCAGATTGACACAAAATTACTGTTTAATTTGGCGAATTGTACATGAAAACGATTTCTAGTAAACGGGGCTAATTGCACTGTTCAATTTCGCTGTCACACAACAGAAATGGTAGGTCTTGGAGAAACAAATCGAGTGGAACCGAACATCGCCAGTTGATTCATGTAAGAGCGTTCCGAAGTGCGATGGTTTTTGGATTGGTTCAAGTCCCAAGTTCACCCTCAGCGCATATTGATCGGCTATATTGAACCAGTGAATCATCCACACTTCGTTTTCTAACAGAATGAATTGAATCATCCCTTAAGAGCGACTGATGATCATGGGCATGTTTTCATTCAAGTAATTAATAGGTAACAATGAGCTATTCTATCCGAAAGGGTTGCTCCGTGCTTTACGAAAATCTGTGAATATACCGTCTTGCTGAAAATCCAAAAAAAGAAATTTGGACTGGTATTGATAAGGACGAGAGGTAAACCAGAAACGATGCTGATCACGGTAAGAACCCTTCCTTCATCCAAGGCTGCTATGGCCCTTTCCATGGTTTATATGGTCCCAGAGGGCTCAAATATGTTACCAGTAATACGTGAAGCAATAGAAGTGCTAATAGCTTATAATTTGAAGCATAGATGGTAGTTGTGAGCTAGGAGATTCTTCATAGCGGCTTCCTATCCTTGTCCTTTATCTTCAAGGCAGGTTGCTGCTTCAGCTTACAGGTCCCGCCCACATCACAAACCCCGCTCCTTGCATGGGTGCGAGGAACAAAAGTACTTTTTCCCTTATTAAGCGCTGCGTACAGAAAAAAAAGAAAAACGTAAATATCTCTTCCAAAAGTATCTATAGCATGTTGGGGCGATTCTGGTAGGTAGCGCTGATTTACCACTTGAGAAAACTCTGTGGTTTGATTGGAACCGTGTAAGGGGCAGCAGTGCATGCGATGGTCCCGAGTATGTAAATATATTCTCAACCATAATGTCGAATTACCGGTAGAGAATTTGTTCAAGAATACAGTTCTGTTACTAGTACAAGTTTCAGTGTCCATGTGTAATCCATCCTGAAAGCGGACGATGCATCGTTTACAATTCACGTTATCAAGCTGCCAATGTGGAAGAGGCTATGTTGGCGTTTCATGACTTGACGTCTCGTTATGAACCTGCACCTGAACGAGTACGTTTCCAATCTGGCATGTTGTAGTAGTCGTAAAGCAGTTAACGTGCCCATAAAATGGCAATATATCCGAAACGGGAATGAAGTAATGGCGTTAGTTGCTCCGAATGAAAACAAACGGATACATTAGGCTTTCACATGTTGCACTGTCAACCTACAAGTTCGCCGCATAACCATGGCATTTCATAACTTGAATACAGTACAGCTTTGTTTGTGGTTGAAGTCAAAGATACAACTATGCATGCAGCAAAAAGTTCCGACCACGGCAGGATTCGAACCTGCAATCTTCTGCTCCGTAGGCAGACGCGTTATCCATTGCGCCACGCGGCCACGTTCCCAATTTTTCCTGACTCTTCTCTTATTATTATTGATTGCTGATGGTTTATGCATGTTGGGTAAAAATTACAAAGGAGTAGTCTACATTTTGGATAGAGGAGTTGTATCAGAATATCACCGATGAGTAAAACTCCCTCCAGTCATCGCAGCTTTTGGTCATCTTATGGGACGGGGCTGTATTTGAAAAGGGTGAGGGGATGAACCAGAACGGCTAAAATTTCTTCCTAGTGCTCCAGCTTTCCGGCCGAAAGGATCAAAGTAAACTTTTTTATGTCAGTGAGAATATGGGCGTTACCGCCTACAATTAGTTCGATCCATATGCTCAGCATAAACTCTGCTTTCGAGAGCTTTTGCTACTTAAAAGTTGAGGTTCAGCGGAAGCCTGGGCTTAAATGTTTTCAGTTCAACTGTTTTACAAGATCAACATGATAATATTGTTAACAGAATGTTTCAGGATGCCGTGACATTTACATGTAAAACACAGGAATGCCAGCAATGTTTCAGTTTACTGTATTATCGACTTCTCGACCTTGGAATGATCGATTCAGAGTTCAAGTAATTTTCAAAAACTACTTTCAAGTATAGACAGTAGTAATTCTGTCGATGGTAAATTACCGCATTAATTAGTTCCTCCTTAATAATGTGAATGCGTTAGCGGAGCCAGCTACTGTCGCAACCTATGTAGGTTGAAACGAGGTAGTGATCACCGAAAGTCGGAAGTAGGGTCTGACTATCGTCTGTTCCCAGTAAATAAGATAGATAGTAGTGAAAGTGTAGCCCTTGAGTGCTGATGGTGGTTGACAATTTATCTCCAAATTTCGGAGGCCCCATCTTACTCAGTTCTAAACCAGTAATAAGCAAAGCGAACTTCAAATTGCCCTAACAAGCAGCCTGAACTCCCACTGAACATTACTTACACCTTTTCTAATTCATCCACTGAGTCGCTTACCAAAGCAATTTGCAGCCAAGCCAAATGTGTTGACAGTTCTCCATGGAATTCTGATTCTTTGAGTGTATTACTCGTTCAGGCCAGTAACACCAGTACTAGAGCGTAGTGCTCTCCGGCCGTCATTATGTCCTCGATATAAGTTTCTGGTCGAGCCGAAGGTTCTCTTTCTTATTTGTTTAAGGAAGTTATTTCTGCTACATTGATCAGTTTTTCAATTTCCTTCGATTTCTCAGACACCGCCCGCACCTTCCTATGTCCCTCCATACGTTCAATCAACGATCGAAGCGGGTTTGCGACATTCAGGCAAGCTACCACAGGTAACTAGTAGGGGAAAGAACGAAAAAGGAGTGGTTCAAATCGAATGAAATAAAAACATCGCTAATAACTCGAAGAATGTATGACCATCACTTTACTTAGCACAACTTTTTATCCAAAACGTCGATCACAGTAGTTTTCTTCAAGTTGCGCTCGAATCACACACCATCGATTAGCTGCCGAACTGTTGCCTCAGTTCTTACAGGTCCCGCCCTCCTAGCAAGCTCCGCCACCCCAAAGCGCGCGTGCTGCCTAGAGGTTTCCTCCGGATGCATATACTGAAGCTATTCGAATTTCAAAATTTATCATAACTAGTCCACATTTGAACAAGTTCAGCATTGGCTCTAATTTTGGGTAATCGGAATCGCTTACTGGGAAGCTTTTACGATGGTACCGAAGGTAAGCACCTTTTGGCAGAGGTAGAAACTTTTCCGGATGGGACCCGGATGCGGACCGTTGTCCTGCGAAGTAAAAATTTCAAATAAATGAATTCGGGGTACCATCCATTCAGGGTAAAATACGTGAAGGACTTCTAAGTACCCGCATTAGACTTCGAATCAGATTCTTAGGGGTTATGAGCGCGTATTCGGCCCAAACACTTCGGTGTACAATACACATGTTCTATCCTTCCAAGCGAATTCGAGAGAGTATGTCTTCCGAGGGATAAAGAGCTTGATCGGCTTAGGAAGCAGCTACCTGCATCAGCAGTCATCTCTGACCACACCTTGGTGAATGGTTTTCTAGGTATCTATCTTAGATTCCTTACAACAACCTAGAGCAATATAATGTTCAATATTTTATTTTCATCCGGAATCCTTGAACTTGGTTTTTTCAATTTTGATACAGTCATACTTCTATTACACGTTACCAAGTAATAATCATAGGACTGGCAGAGTAGATTCGACCAGCAGTTCGGATCGCAATCCTCACAACAAAGGGGCTCCACAAGCAACGGTGAATTTTTCCATCGTTGTGCAATAAGGCCTAGACCATGCCGAGGTGCGAGATGACGTTTCGTTCATCTTTGTGGAGAGCTACTGACAGAAATTGAGTTTTTCGATTTTAGTTTCAGGCTGGGAGTGGAACCCACAGTCACGACATTGGGAGCAGTCCCCGATACCGGGGACTAACGGAGATGGAACGGTGATTATTCTTGTACAATTACAGTGTATTTACTACTACATTAAAAAAATCCCTTCCCCGAATGTCAGGAGTTCACAGCAGCCCTGAAAATCTTCCAATTTTGGAGGATTACTGTCTGCTATTACCTTTTCTATATACAGCTAACCACAATCAAATTTCTAGCTTAAAAACGTTAAAAAAATATAAATAGTCGTTTTTCAGAATGGCGACTCTAATCAGCAACTGGGAACTCAGTCTGGAGACTTCAATGGTAAGGTTCTAAAGGCTTTAATTGATAGAATAGCTAAACTGTTATTTGCTTCTGTTCAGTCATGAGGCTAGAATTCTGTAATTTCGATGACATGGCGGCAGACGTCTCTCATTGGTTTTCACTTACGGTAACCAATCAGAGACGCCGCTCGTATCCTAATCCTCAACTAACCTGTTATAGGCCACCAATTCGTTGAAGGTCGATTCACATATCATGAAGGACGACGAGGAGGGCAATGGCAGTCTTCTCGTGGTTCCGTGAGTAGATGCACCGTTCGAACCAGTATTTTCTCCTTTATTTACCATACCTGCTGGGGTCTTCCGACCTGCTGTCGATGTTGAGGAAGGCAGGGTGCTAGCAGGCGCGAGGGCTATGTTTGGAAGGTTGATGTCAACTTCCTCTTAACTTATTATGATTTTAGAGTTCCACTGCGTCCTCACCATCAGGATATGGAGGATATGGCAGTAAGATGTTTATACAATATCTACTTTATTTATAGTAGCGGAAGCCTTTTTCAACTATTACTTTCAGAGCGGAAACGACGGGCTACGAAACCATCTATCGTTGGCACTCGCTTTATAATAGGGTGCAGCAGTAGAGGCGAATCTGAGGATAATATGCTGGCTCTATGTGGTAGGTTGCCGAAAAGCTCACCAGACCTTCCACTAGTTTATGTGTAGCACTCATGACGCCTCTGCCTCGTTGCTTACCATCTCGTTGGATCACCTACCACTGACGTCCATTACATTTCCTACTAGGCGTACTTGGGTAGTCCAAGGTGAATTTCCACCTATGAAGAGGCAGACAGGAATGACACCTTATCTTTTGTTCGGACTACTATTAACGAGATTGATCGAAGGGGGGAGGGGAAGGGGGAAGGCCGCATAACGAAAAGCTTCCCGTTATGCTTCTAAACCGCTAACTGTCATAGACATTACTAAAGTACATTACTCGTCATCACTCAAGAGTTGTACAGTCGGAAATGGGTCCTCAGTTACTGACTGAACAAGGATAACCACTGTGAAAATTGTCTCGAATTCTCACTGAGCCATGTGTATTATAGTAAGTATGAACTACAGGTTCATGTTGGGCATGGAGGCAGCTTCCGGAGGACTACTTTCCTCGCCTCATCAATGAACTCACTTGTAAAGAGGACGATTTTTGCTTATCAGGTACAAGTTTTCGACACAAGTTTTTCCTCTTTCAATGATTTCTTGCTTTTATTGGTCATGGTCTAGTCATGAATAGAACCCTCATCCTGGAACGCGAATAGGCTCTCACTTCCTGAGGGCAGCGCTAGCCCTGTTCTAAGTGATCCTTCCTTCAATCCCTTAATTTTATCGTAATTTACTACAAATCACAAGCGATCAGGGAGAGGGCGTAATGGATAAAAGAGGTGTCCGTAAGAAGTAGGTCCCGATCGGTTCCCGTTCAAGACCTTGCTTTTACCTCTGACCCATCACCCATAACCAATGGCATGAAATTGACTATAAACGGAGTAATGGACAACAAAAATCGGTATACTACTGGTTTGTGTTTGTTTGAGTTACAAGTACATCACGATTAAAAATCTCTGAATCCAGGATGGGGAGAATGTCAACAGCAATACCGAAACGTCGAGGTACTGCGTCGAGTTGGAGGGCAATGGCAAAGTGCTGCTCTTTCTGTGGCCACCTGTTGCGATTGTCGTGTACGTGCCGGCACGGAAATTCACGCCCTCGTCGTCGGCGACAAAAAGTGACAAGTTTTCTGTCTAGTAATTGCTCGTCAAGTATAGATCCTCTGCCAAGTATGGCTAATCTTCTCCTAGCCTCTGTCTGAACACGGCTTTATCAAATCCTTATCATTGTTCCCGAGCGGAAATCAAATGAGAAATGTACTGGAGAAAGCTATTTTACGCGCTGTGCGAGTACTGTGTCATCTCTTGTTGCAAATCTAATTAATGTAATTAATTTCCTATGTCAAATACACTTTCTTGTGAGCCATTCCAGAATCTAATCGGTTAGCCATGAGGAAAATGCACGCGCGGGCGAATGAACGATTTGATCGATAAGCATCTCTTTGCTGGGCGCAAACCACACCGCGGGCTCTAGACGCATCCTCGGCTACCGACTATGACCTAACGGAATCTGTCACCCTAAACTCTCTGTCCCTTGTGGCCTCATTGTCACTCTTTTTGCTTGTTCTGCATGCCACCCCCTTGAACAGCCCTGCTTCCGCAGATAGTTCAGAGACAAGCAAACCCAACAAGCTGTTATCTCTACGGACTGAGGAACAAGAACCCAGATCGATGCCTTATTCTTGTTTACATCTCTCTCGATTACCATGCTATAATCACGCCAACATGGGACATGAAAAAAGATTCGAATCGTCTGTTGAAGTATCCTCGATGCGCTATTCTGAACAGGTAATAAGTAATCTGCGCTAAACTTATTTCATAATGATGATTGCTTCTTAGTGTTTTCATTTATTTCATTCATCATTCTGTCAACATTCGTTACTTTTAAATCCACTCACCCACAACAAACAGCAAGGCGGGGTTAGCACGAGCTGCCGCGTGCGGCTGCGTAGCGAATGAAATGTGAGATCGGTGCGAACGTGAAGCAAGCTCGACATTGCCACATGCATGTGCCCAACTACTCCTCTCATCTCTTCTTTAGTTTACCACCGATTAAATTGTTTACATGGTAAACATTAGTTCACTCATTCGAACGATCGAATAATCCAAGCAATT